TCCCCCGCCACCGCCGAGCGGCAGCGTGGGCTCTTCTCGTTGGCCTCTGGGGGCAGCAACCCAGCAACCCAGCAACCCCTACTGGCTGCATCCGCCACGACACTGCCAGGCTCCTTCTTCTTCACCGACTCCTCCACCAGGGCCGCCAATTGCGAAATCTGCCGTTGCAAACTTGCAAGCTCCGCGTCGCGGCCCTCCTNGCGTGACACAAAATCATCCAGCACATGTATCCAACAACAATGTTTGCAGACCCACGAACAATATGTGCCTTTTCCGGCGTTTTTTACTCCGGTCCGGTGGTCTTTTCGTTCCCCTTTTCCCCTTGAGACCAGAAATTCACCCATCTCCCATCTGCCGGTCGCCCCGGTGGTCTAGTGGTATCCTCGTAATCCGCTAGTCGCAGAGGTCGTGAGTTCGAACTCCCATGAGGTGAAAAAATTACGAAATTTGCGGGTGAAAGCGAAATAAAGCCAAAAAAAGCCCTCGTGACGAGGGAAAGGGAGAGCTGGATCCTTCTCGCGATAAAAATAAAATTCAGCACGCACCGCAGGAGGAAGGTGGGGCATGAAAATAAATAAAATGGTGTTTACCCCCTCCTGTGTGACCCTGGAAGGTTGTATTTGTACGAAAAAATACACTGAAAAGTGTAGTACTCTACATACATACGCTGAAGAGTGTAGCACGTCTCACCACGAAAAGTGGGGCAACTGATGTAGCCATAATAAATAGGACGAAAACACCACACACACATCTTCCGCCGCAGAGCGTTTGCCCACCCCTCTTCAGTCACCCTTAGCACCAAAAACCAACTCCTAGGAGCTGGTCTGAGTTGCTCTTCTTCTCTCACACCCCGCTCCCTTCATCACCAATGCCTTCTCCTCGTCGCAGCGTCCAAGGCCGGGCTGCCGCTGCCTCTCGCCAGCCCCTTACTACCGTCATCGACAACAACGACCGCGGGCGCTCTTCTCGTCGCACGTCCACCACCCGCGCGCGTCAAGCCTCCTACTCCTCCCGCCAGGGAAAAAGGCCCGAGAGAACTTCTGTCGCAGCCTTGGAGGTAAGTTTGTGCAGACGTACGCGTTGTGTCCTCCTCCCCGTCACTTCCAACAAATGCCTCTCTGTTAGTGTTGTTGCGGGGGGCGGCCGCCGGCCCTACAGGCGCCAAGGAAGCCGCTGCTGACGCGAAGAGGAGAGAGGAATCCAAACGCAGAGCGAGGGAGGACAACGCCCACCTCAAGGCCAAGAAAAAGCAGGCTAAGAACGCCGTCAGCGTGCAAGAGACGGCCGCGGTTGCCATGCACTCAGTGGCGTCTGGACTTGGACTGCCCCCCGGCGGATTAAGCGAGCTATTTCGGCCAGCGTCCGAACCCGCCCCCGCCGCAGCACCTTCCCCGCAGAACATCGTAGATGAAAAGACCGCAAAATTGAGGTTTTTCGACACATTGTTCGAATCTTTCCAAGCCGCCACGAAAAATCTCAAACAAGCCAAAGCAGAGGCGGCAGGCGGCGACAGCGCGGCGCTAGAAATGGTCGGTTTTCTGGAAAAAAATATTGCGAAGATTAGAACAGAGATGGCTGAATGGGACAAGAGTCCCCTTTGAGGGACAGCCCGCGGTCCCTCCCCGATTCCACATGTGCAAGAGCGATCGATTGTGTTTTAGTGGCGGTTGGTGTAAGATCGTTTGTGTGTGGGCGGGTGAGGGAGAAGGCAGATCGCTTTCACTTGCCGTACCGTTTGTCTTTTGTCGGGTGGGTGTTTGACGAGTGCACCACGTGTAGCACACGCATGGAGAACGCGTAGCGCACGCTCGAAGTTCGATGTTTTTTTTAGCCACGTACAGCAGTACCACTTGTTTTTTTTTTTTGAGTTTTTCACAAACCACCGCGTGCATTCGTAGATGACTAGGGGGGGGGGCGGCAGAGCGAACGTGTGGCGCACGACCAAAACTCGTTGTTTTTTAGACACGTACAGCAGGACCGCTTGTCTTTTTCTTTGGTGGTGTTTTTTTACAGATGACCAGGGGGGGGGGACACGCAGAGCGAACGTGTGGCGCACGACCAAAGTTCGTTTTTTTTTAGACACGTACAGCAGTACCGCTTGTTTGTTTTTGGTCGGTATGTTTTTCACCAACCACCGTCTGCATTCGTAGATGCTTCGGAAACAATGTCTCCTCACGACGCGAACTTATTCAAATACAACGTAAAAAACGTTTGAACGCGGATCCATTCCCGATACCGTTATCCCGGGCTGTGGGAGCTGACCGTCTACGCCATGATGCTGTTCAGCCAACACTGTCTCCCTAGAGGCAACATCGTGAAGTCAGAAAAAAAAAACATATCTGTTACCATCTCGCATCACGCAACTATGACATGACAAAATTCCCCCACACAGGGGGGAGGGTGCTCACCCTTACCCTACACGCCAAATGTTATAAAATAAATGCGTTTGGAAACCTACATTTTTCTTCGACGTCTCTGCAATTCGAATTTTCTCGCGCAAGAGATGCACAACGCAGGAATGACACCCAAACAAACGACGTAATGAACAGCGACAATACGTATCGAAACAACACGAAATCTTACCGGACACCACTCGTAGATTACCCCGGTTTATGGTGTTTGTAACACATAAAACACGACTTCCGCAAAATTGCCCAAAACGTCCTCGTAGAAGCGCATGTGGATTTCGCGGCCGACCCTCTCCCCCTAAACAAAAAAACTTTCTCACCCGCCCGTGCGCCTTCCCTTCCCTTTCACCCCCCCCCGCCCTACCCCACCAGAGGCGTTGCATTCCCGACCACCGTCCACATCCGCCGCCCCGGCCCCGGCCCACGCTCCTCAAAGGCCACCACGGCCGCATTTTCCTCGTCTCATTCATCATCCATGCACTACGTCCTCGGGACCCACCCTTCACCGCAGCCCGCCCGCGTTCGATCCCTCACGTCTTCCTCGCTGCGTTGCGCACCAAGTTGTGCTTTGGGCGGTACTGGCGCTTGTTGTCCAGCATGATCGTGATCCCGTTGCGCGTGGAGACTTCGCCTGACCTGGTCAGTTTCTGCGCGTCCTTGGTGGTCGTGCTGAAAGATCCTGGCAGAGTCTTGTCGCCGAGTAGGTGGGGGCGTGCCTGGACCACCTCCGCGTCTTCTTCCGACCGTTGGATTGGTGTAACCTTCTCGTCCCGGAGATAGTTGTGGAGGCGGAAGAGCGCCGTGATGAAGTCGCATCGCCCAGCGAACTGAACACGCAACGGCTTCCACAGGATGCCCCACTGGCCGACGAGAATGCCGAACGCTTGCTCGATCCTGACTCTGAGTTGACTCAGATAGNTGATGCCCCACTGGTCGACGAGAATGCCGAACGCTTGCTCGATCCTGACTCTGAGTTGACTCAGATAGAAGTTGAACGCGTCTTGGTCCAGCGGCAGTCCCCTCCCTGGGTACGGAGTCAACAGGTGGTCGCTTAGGGGGTAAGCCGCGTCTCCGAGCACGTAGAACCCTGGCGGCAGGTTTTTCACCGCTGTGGATAGATCCGAATGGTTCCATGCCGTCCAGTCATTGGTCGAGCCGGGTGCAATGCAAGACATGCTGCAAAACCGGTAGTTGGCATCGCATGTCGCCTGTACGTTCATCCCGTAGCCGCACTTGCTCCCAGAATAATACGAGAGAACGTTCGGAGTGTTGAGGGCAGTTGGAGCAAGAGTCTTCACGAAGAGGCCATCCCCCGCAGCTACCACACCTTGAAAGGCGCCGCCCGTGCTTTTTTCCTGAGGAGAGACATGGCAGGCAGGGAGGGACACAACAGAGGCGCTCTTAGATTCGTTAATGTTTGACTTTCGGGCAGCGGCAAGTCCATCGACTACCCCAGAAAAAACGTACAGGTGTGTGCGAGCAATTAAAGACGAGCCCTCTCCTAGACATGCCAATCAATACAG